ACCTAACCCAGGTGTTCTGGGATTACAACTCCCAGAAGCCTTGGCCACTGGCTGTTCCCTACCTAACCCAGGTGTTCTGGGATTGCAACACCCAGAAGCCTTGGCCACTGGCTGTGCTAGCCAGGGTTTCTGGGAGTTGCAGTCCAGGAACACATGAGTTACCCAAGGTTGAGAACCACTGTCCTAGTTCATCAGTTGCCCACCTCTATAGGCTAGCAGAGAGACATCACCTTGCTGACAAAAGTCTGCATAGTCAAATGGCTTTTCCTGTAGTGATGTATGGAAGCGAGAGCTGGACCATGAAGAAAGCTGACCGCCGAAGAATTGATGCTTTTGAATTGTGGTGCTGGAGGAGGCTCTTGAGAGTTCCCTGGACTGCAAGGAGAACAAACCTATCCATTCTGAAGGATATCAACCCTGAGTGCTCACTGGAAGGACAAATCCTGAAGCTGAGGCTCCAATACTTTGGCCACCTCATGAGAAGAGAAGAATCCTTGGAAAAGACCTGGATGTTGGGAAAGTGTGAAGGCAAGAGGAAGAAGGGGACGACAGAGGACGAGATGGTTGGTCAGTGTCATCGAAGCGACCAACATGAATCTGACCAAACTCTGGAAGGCGGTGGAAGACAGGAGGGCCTGGCGTGCTCTGGTCCATGGGGTCACGAAGAATTGGACATGACTAAAGGACTAAACAACAACAACAATAGGTCAGCCTGAACATTCACATGTTTATGTCCTCTTTGATGTGTGTGTGTGTGTGTGGGGGGGGTATTGGGGTGGAGATTAGTGGACTAAATCCCTGCTCCTTTAGCCAAGTGGAGCCAGCTCTCTTTTCCTCTGTTTCCCTCCAGATCAGTTTTGCTCCTAAGGTAACAACTAGCTGGCATCCCAGAAGTGGCCCAGTTGACAAGTTCTGTTTTTTTGTTTGGTGCATTTGCATTCCGTCTTTGCTCCCGAACAAGCTCTTTTTCTTTCATCACAATCCCCTTAGGTAGGTTTATTAGAAGGGATGGACGATGGTCAGAAAAATTACGGCCTGACTGACTGGAGGATTTGAATGTTGTCTCCTGAGTATAAATCAGACATGTCACTAACAGCCATTTTGCTAATCCTTAGGATACTTTATTCTTGTCTATAGATGCACATGTGTCCCCCGCATCCCTAATGTGAAAATCTAATCAAATTCCACAACCAACATGTCACAGCCTTTGAGTTTTCATCAGGAATTTACCTCTTTGCTTTAGAACTTTTCACCCTTAAGGGCTAGAAATCTGTATGGTTTTTTTTAAGATGAGATTATCAACCTTTTGAGTTCTGCACTTAGTACCAAGCTCTCTGCATGTTTGATACCACTGCTAAATACAGAAAACTCCTGGCTGTAATTATTGGGAACATCATTTGTGTCCTGGCTATGTCTACACTGCCAATGAGGGCTGTTGCTGCTCCTGTAACCCCACATCCTTGTTTCAGCTTCTCTTTTACAGTTCTTATGACCCACACTCTGTCTTTTCCCAATTGGGACTGATGGAATCAAATTAAGAGAGTGACAACATCAGAATGAATGATGCACACCATGGACTAGGGATCAGCAGTGTAATTGATGTCTAAATCATTTTTATAGTTGTGGGTCCCCTTAAACAGGGGAGGAAGTATTTCACATGGGTTAAATATTGGCTTGTACTGCATCTTATGTTCTGTTCTGCATGTTGAGGCAAAGCCAAGTGGAGAACTGTGGATTTATACCACAGGCTGGCAGCTGTAGTGTTGAGGTATGTCCCTTTCATAAGCTGCTTATAGCAAACCTCTGGCTTTTTACAAGGTGCTACTATAGTAGGTTGTTGCTGTTTAGTTGTTTAGTTGTGTCCGACTCTTCGTGACTCCATGGACTAGAGCACGCCAGGCCCTCCTGTCTTCCACTGCTTCCCGGAGTCTGGTCAAATTCATGTTGGTAATGGTTGTTGTGGGCTTTTTGGGCTCTTTGGCCATGTTCTGAAGGTTGTTCTTCCTAACGTTTCGCCAGTCTCTGTGGCCAGCATCTTCAGAGGACAGCACTCTGTGCTCTGGTGACTTCAGTGTAACTTCAATTCATGTTGGTAACTTCAATGACACTGTCCAACCCTCTCGTCCTCTGTTGTCCCCTTCTCCTCTTGGCTTCACACTTTCCCAACATCAGGGTCTTTTCCAGGGAGTCTTGTCTTCTCATGAGATGGCCAAAGGATTGGAGCCTCCGCTTCAGGATCTGTCCTTCCAGTGAGCACTCAGGGTTGATTTCCTTCAGAATGGATAGGTTTGTTCTCCTTGCAGTCCAGGGGACTCTCAAGAGTCTCCTCCAGCACAACAATTCAAAAGCATCAATTCTTTGGCGGTCAGCTTTCTTTATGGTCCAGCTCTCACTTCCATACATCACTACAGGAAAAACTATAGCTTTGACTATAGTAGGTAGCTACCTGTAATCACTAGATCAGAACTGTGGCCTACCATGAAGCAGGATTAACATTATACTTTAAGATGCTATAATGCCTGGCAGAGGGGCTCCTGATACGCATGGCAGACCCCTGGGTTCCATAGCCTGGGCCAGATACCCTCTCCATTAGGGGAGCAAAGTGGCCCAAAATAGTGGTCTCTTCAGAGCTGAGATTATCACGAGCTGACGTGTGTGACTGTGTTACACTAACACATGTTCAGACAAAGAGGCAGAAAGCTTTGTCAAATGCCTGGAAAACTCTCAGTCACTAGATGTCTCCTGAAGTCTTATTTAACCTTGATTACTTAATCCAACATACACTTTAAAATGTCATGCTACTAACATTCAGGCTTCTAAATGCAGGGGTGGGGGACTTCTCTGACAATGGGTTTTGTGGGTTTTAGAGATGTAGTCTGACAGAATCTAGAAGACCAGAAGCTCCCAATCCCTGCTATAAGTAATGGGTGCTTCCCTGCTTTTATTATGGACTGCCTCACTGCAAACATGGAAATTTGTATTTGTTGTCTTCTGTTTGTAACCCTGTTGTATTTTACTCCTCTCCTCCTCTTGCTCCTCCTCCTTTTGTAAATCTGTTATAGAAGGAACAATAATAGCTGTGCATTGTCTTTTGACTGGTATCAAAGCATCCAGAGTTAGTGGGCTGTGTTTTTTTAAAATCCCCTATAGCCCTTCAGTGTATTGATATACTTGGATATTTTGATCTGTATTACTGCCCTATATACAGAAGCAATCCTGCCTACCTGCTAATAATTAATCTGGTGCAGTTACTGGGGTATATAACTTAGATGACAACGTGATGCAATTTAACAGTTTTCTCCCAATGGCCAGAAGGCTATTGGTGTTTGCATAAGATTTGTGTAACTCATCATGGCTCAGTGCAGCTAATTGACATGAAGCCAAGATGCATCTCTGTTGTGCAAATGGGCATATGACCAGGCGTATGACTGAAATGTGCCTTAGCACCTCATTTGTTAGTTGTGCAAACATCAACAGGATCATGTCCAATATTTTCCAGACTCTCTACCTGTTGGGTTCCTTTCCTTCATCAACCCGTCTCCCAAGGAGGCCACGTGCTTTGCTCCCTGAAAATTCTACTCCTCTTCATGTAGGACTCTTGTAAGGTCTGTTGACTATCACCACCACTAGGTGTTCACTGAATGTACAACCTAAGAAGCCCACTCAAACACTTCCTTCAAGAGTCTGTAGGTTACAGGTGATGTCAGGAAGCTTTTTGGCGACTGGTTTCCCAGTTAAAGAATTTCTTAATGTAATTAAGTGACCACCAGCACAGTTTGCGTCCAGTGATTCAATTCTGTCAAAACTCTTTACCTGAGAAGTCATACTTGCAAATCATGCCCATCTTTACTTCTTATGGATCAATCCAAAAGAAAAAAGTAAGCAGTATGTGAAGGTAAAGAAAGTCCATGCTAGGATAAGCAGATAAACATTTATCTGGGCATCACTTCTACTGACATGCTAATTGTATAATCCAGTTTATGGAGGCCCAATAGTCTTCCTACATACACCATTTAAAAGCATCTGTTCCAGTCTTCTAAAAGGAACAGGGAAGTCTAAGCTAGTTTGATGGTGGTAAATTATATACTGTAATTGTTCCCGCTAATTAGAAATGTTCCAGCAGTCAGATTCCATGGCCATTAGTTCCACTATAATGTGGAACTGAGGGCGATGGGAGATGTAGTCTAATACATTTTGAGACCACTACTGCTCACTGAAGGAGAAAACCATACTCTCTTCCTGCTTTTTATTGCTTTTGAACCAAATTGCTTTTGAGGTCAAGAAAATACCTCAAAGGGGAAGAAAGCAATAAAGAGTCCTGGAGCACAAAACATTGAGCCACTTGCAGAGTAGCCCGAGGTGACACGTAATGGCACATAGGGAGTGGGCTGGCTGGCAGAAGTAGAATACATTATTTACCCCCTGCCCTACTAGTTCCTAGGTCTTTCCGACTCTTATTTATGAAGCTGTGGTACCATCCTAAATATTAAATAGTTTTCTTCTGGAATAAGCTTTTAGGACCCACTTCACCAGCTGCTCCCTGGCACAGCTACTCCTCTGGAGGTAATAAAGGGGGTTGTGTGTTTGTGGTTTTTTTTAAGCAATAATTTGGTATGATACTTGTGTCCTACCTGGGGTTCCCATGGCCTCCTAGTCAGGTTTTCAACTGGACCTCCACCAACTTAGTTTTCCCTGGTATTGCCATTTCAGATGCTCCTACACCGTCTTTCACTTCTCACTCTACATGAGGTTGGTCTGAGTTCAGTCATCTCCACTGAATTCCTCCAAGAGGGAGCCATTTCCAGAAAAAAAATACCCAGGCAGCTGGATCTTGGAGATGTTTGCACCAGACTTCAGAAAAAACAAACCTAATCTCAGATGACCCCCCTCAGTCCTGTGATAGACTACAGCTCCCATGGCCCCTTGTGTGGGAGGGGGTGTAGTGAGCATGCCCAGCGTCTGGGTACTGCTTCCCCCCTCCCCTCCCTCCCTCTCCCTCTTCTGCATCCTCCCACCCTCCTCTGCTGCATCAGCATCAGCCTCTCTCTCTCTCTCTCTTTCTCTTGCTTTCTCTGCCATCCTTAGAGCATCTTTCTCCTCCCAGCTTGGCTGAGCCGGGAAGCTCCGTTTTATCCATCACTGCAATTACCAGTAACCTCCCACCCTCCTTCCCTCCCTCCCCCACCTTCTTTAGCTTTCTCCTCCGCCCCACAGAAGAGGGGTTCTTGCCAGCCACCGTGTCTGTCTGCTGTGCCACAGGGAGGGTGGGGAAGAAAACCCACTGAAGACTCGCAGCCGCCTGAGGAAGCGCAATGAAGGATCGTACTCAGGAGCTGAGAAGTGTAAGATGCCATTTTATCCCCCCCCCACCTTACTATACAATCCAGCGTTTTGGTGGACATTGCACCTCTTACCTATCCATCCATTTCTTGAACTCCTTCCCTCTCCCCTCCTCCTGCTAATCACGTCAAAATAATTTTTTTTTAAAAAAATCAAATCATCCCTAATAGCCAATTCAATGGGGGAGCAACACTGAATGTCTAAATTGTGACTGCTTTAAGGCAATGGTGGGATTATTTGGAGGGGGGGTAAGGGGGTTTCGGACTGCAGTCTAAAGATCCAGTGGTATTGATAAATCAGGATGTATTGGGTTTCCAGTGTTGGTGAGGGTAGGATTTGCCTGGGGGGGGGGGGAGGCTGATGTCTCAAGACCCAGAGGCAAGACAGCTGGCTGGTGGTTATCTTTCTAGAGAGGAAATGGAGCTGTAGCTTTCAAGGGGGGGGGAGGTTTGAGTCGATCTTTTCCACCCCCCAGGTGAAAGGGGGAAAGATTAAGATTTGGGAAACCGACATAGGAAGGAAAAAACGACAAAGCCGGGCGATGTGAAGACATTGTTGGCTTTTCAGGAGCAAGAGACCGAAAATCGTTCATTCTAAACCCATTCTCCCCACTGATGTCTGTCTAAATGGAAATCTCTGTGTGTGTGCATGCAAGCGGAGGGGGGGTACGGTTCGTTTTTATAGGTCACCCAATCCCTCCCCTCCACAAAACAGAAAGGGGCTGGAAAGAAAGGGGAAAAAACCCTTAAGGCATCAAATATTTCAGGAAGTGTATGAGTTGAGGGGGAGGAGGGGGAGGAACTTTCCTGCCTCCTCCTCCTCCCCCCTGCCATCGGTTTGTTGGGGGAAGGATTGATAAATGCTCTCATCTCTCTCTTTCCTCCCTCCCCCCTTTTTTTGGGGGGGGGAGTGGATGAAGGTTGAGTCCAATTGGATGTGATAGATTCTGTCTGAAGTGGAGAAGGTTTGGGGGCCGAAAAGGTGAGGGAGGGGGGAAGATGATTACGTATCCTGATGTGTTAATGCAGTTTTCGGATTAGCATGGGATGGCCACTCATCAGTATGTTAAAGAGAAGTCCCTAGGAGGAACCACTGCCAGGAACCCCTTTGTATAAAATAGCACCTTCCGTATGAGCCATCGGGGCCCCGGGCTGCCTCCCTGCTCCATCATCCTTTTTTAATGGTTTGCTGAGGATGTGACTCTCCTTTCTATTTAAGTCTGGAGATCGCGGCGAATCTTTGACTCTAGTCTCTCTTTTCCGCCCCTCCCCACTCCCTCCCAGTCATTCATGCAAAATCCGTTTGCAGTAGCAAATTGGGGGACGGCTCTTGGTAAGAAAAGTGGGGTGATCGAAGGGGAGGGATCCACTTTCCCACAGCCATTTCATTTCTTGTAGCCATGGGGTGGGGGGAGAGGTTGTTCATAATAATAATAATTACGTGCTATCAGGTCTTAGTGATCTGGAAAAATAGAAGGGATCCACTTTCCCACAGCCATTTCATTTCTTGTAGCCATGGGGTGGGGGGAGAGGTTGTTCATAATAATAATAATTACGTGCTATCAGGTCTTAGTGAGCTGGAAAAATAGAAAAAAATGCCATTTCACCTGCCAAAAACAAAACCCCAAAAAGCAAATTGCAGCATCACAAACTCATAAGCACCCTTTCCCCAGTATGAGGCATTTCAATAGCCTCTGTGGTTGTATGTTGTGGTCTATTTAGTGTGAACTCGTGTATGCTCTTTTTGTGCAGTTTCAGTGTCATGTGTAGCCGTGAGGAAATTCATCTTTATCGTTGTGTGTATTAGTGTATGTATGGGAAGAAGAATCTTTACTGTGTGTACCTCCGTACAGAGGAGAGAATTTACATTGTACTTATTCCTTTCTCTCTGTGTCTACAATTAAAAAGAATAAACACATTTTGGCAGAGGTTAGAAGCTGGGGACATACACTGTTCTCTGATACCCTTATCTCCAAATGGGTATGGGATTTTTCTGTTCGTATGCAGTGGCAAGAGGGGGGCTTAGTGGGGGAATATTTGCAGACAGCATATGTGCCACCACTGTCCAACAACTGAAAAATATTTTTAAAACACACCCCATGCAAAACAGTTTAATTCATTGCTGGTAAATTAATTCAGTGACCTTTCTGAGAATCGGTTGATAGACTCCCCTCGTTCTTGAGTTTTAGACTTTTTCATCAAAGTGGAGTGAGAAGAAGGGTTAATGATTGCATTCTGTCTGAAGAAAATCAAAGTATTCCTTCCTACTTTCTTTTTTCACACTTTAGTGTTGGGGGAGGGATTCAGGGCAGATGCAGTGACAAAAATCCTGGTGTGTGTTTGTGTGTGTGTGTGTGTACAACTCCTCCCCTTGCCTCCTTTCCTCCCTCCTCTTTCTTCTGCATGGCTAAAAAAACAGACAGAACATTGTTGATGTGCATGCCGACTCCAATTTTGGATATATGTTTGGTATATGCTCATAGTGGGTGATGGTAGTGTGCTCCACTTCAGATCTGCAGAAGGCAGATTTTGAAGGGAAAAAACACACACACACCAAAAAAAACCTTATCTCCTCCACCACCCCCTAAAGAAATCTTTTCGTTACTAGCAGGCAGAGGATGGATCCCAACATTTCTGCCTATCCTTCTGGACAGGCAGGAGAAAATGGCATTTGCTTTATCGTTGGCGCATTGTGTGTTGGTGGGGGGGTTATGATGGAGGAGACGGTTTTGCTGCAGGAGCCAAAGGCTGTGTGTATGTGTGTGTGTGTATGTCTTTCTCTCTCTCTCTCACTTCTCTCTCACTTACCCCTCCACCTCCCCTTCGTGTTGATAGTGTTCGTAGCTAAATGCAGCAGAAGAGAAAGCATGCACAAGCACACAGACAGATATGTTGATGGTGGGGAGGGAGGAATGGTTATAAAAGCATGTGTATTGGCGGAAGGAAGGGGGCTGGCAACACCAAATATGTTGGTAGTCAATCCAGTAGAGGCGAGGAGCCCACACCCCTAAAGCGGTTAGCTTCCAAAATCCTGCAGTCTTCTTCAGCTGGGTTACTGAGCACATAGAAGTAGAGGGAAGATTCCTTTGCAAGAGACACCGTAGAAGCGTGCTGGGTGGGAATGCAGCCTCTTTTTGCAGCCCCATTTAGTTCACCCTTTTCTGTTTCAGCCCACTAAAGTCCAAGCAGGGCAGCACGGTTACAACAACTGATGTATCTGAAAGATAAATTAAACTGGTCCTAAACTTCTTTCTTCCCTACTCTGCTGTGGTGTAACCCCAGCCCATAAAAGCAGAAGGGGGAAAGGATCTGAAATGCTTGTGAAAAGATACTCAAGTTCAGGCTTTAGAGGGTCTTCAAGGAAAGACAATTCTTAAAATTGTAAGGCAGCCACAGGTTCCTTGTAATGGACTTCCAGCAGCTGGGTGGATAGCAGGAGGAAAGAGCCAAGAGTAGTTTCTGGAGAGGCATGGGGCTCCCCCCCCCAAGCATACTGGGGGACAATTGCTTTGACTTTGGTTCCTGAAGGATCTATAAAAGAAGTACCAGATTTACTTCCCAGATGATCCATATTTATTAATTGTCAGCAGGGTTTGCAAAGCGACACAGAAGGCTTGGCTGTGTGTATTAAATGGACAGAGAGGTCCAGGGACTGAAATCTGAGGAGGCAGGCTGAGGTGGGTAGAATCAGATGGCAGGTGAAAATGCAGGTAAGCTGAGATTTTGTTGAAGGTCTCGAGGAGGGCTTGAAGGAGGAGAGAGATCAGGCGGTGGTGTTCTGGAGTGCGGTGAGAGGCTCAAAGAAAAAGAGACAAACCAGGCTGTGTTGCAAGTAAAAAGGTGGGGAATTGGAGAAACTGGCAGGGACATAGGAAGAAATACTGGGAAAAGGGGTAGCCAGACTGAATATGTGAATTGATCTTTCTTTCATTTGAATGCCATGCACGTCCCATTTCTCAATTGACTGTACACTCGAAACAGCTTGCAATTGAAAAAGAAACGACAAAGACCACCTAAAAGTACAAATAAAATTAACAAATAATGACAATAAAAGAAGTTAATGCAACACAACAAAGTAAAAAAACCACGTAAACTGAGACATAGTAGCAATAACTAGCAAGTATCAGCGTTATGAAACCAGGTGAAAAGTTCCCCCTCCTATTGGGGGAAAAAAAGTAATGTCAGTTCTCTTGGGAGGGCATTCTGCAAAGCTGACACCACCACCAAGGCCCTGTTTCCTGAGATCTGCCCCCTTATCCTGAGCTTCATCTGAAGGCAGCATTTGAAGAAAGGTGTCAGATGTTGGGTGGAGCGTCTGTATAGGATGCACTATTTCCAGGCCATAAAAGACTTTAAAGGTGAAAACAGGTACTTTAAACTGAGTCTGGAAATAAACACACAGCTAATGCTGATGGCATAAAATCAAAGAAATATCGTGTTTTGATTAGCTGTTTCTAACCAATAATCCTATAGGTGTATTTTGCAATAGATATTTCCTCCTTTAAAAGGGGGCAGTCCCATGCAGGGGGCAGCACAGTAATCTAGCCTAAAAGATACTTGGCCATGAATTATTTAGGTGTTCTGGTTTGTCCTGTACATTTCTGCATCCTATGTAAAGTCTAATATCCTGAAAAACTTAAGAGGTCTGATGCAGAAGTAAGGACTGGTCCATGCAGACTAGATTGTTGTCAGCCAAGTGATGATAGAAATTAGGAGATAGCGAGTCTCCCCATAATTGGTCCCATGGTTTGCTTTGTATATTTGGCTTTTTAAAACAACCAATGAGTAGCACAGGAAAGGAGAGTTCACGTAAAAGGTGACACATTACTGTAAATAAGTTACGTGGGTGCATGGAGGTGAGAAAGAGAGAAGTGTTATTCAGTTGGTTACATTTGGCTAGAAGTAGCACCGATAAGATGGAGAGGTATGACTGTATTCTCTTTCTATTCTTCTTTATTGCTTCTCCGACTCAGAATGAACTGGATGTTTGTGCAGATCTATTG